CTGCTCGAGGCTAAACCTCGAGCAGTTGCTCCGGGTGGATGCCACCTCTGCCACCCCACCGATGTTGCCCCATATAAAAGGGGTGGCAGGTTGTGGGGCCCAACGTCCGCCTGTGCATTTATATATATTTACATACACACGTGTGTATATATAAACATATGTATATATGTATATACATACATACATATATGTGTGTGTGTTAGTGTATGTGTGTACATATATAGAGAGATATATATATGTACACACAATAGATATGTATATGTATATACATATATGTGCTTGTATGTGTTTATGTATGTATGTATGCATGCATATCCCAGCATCTCCCGGGGATCTGTGACGCACCTTGCATCCTGGCCTGCCCAGTGTCTCCCTCCTCTTGACACCTCTCATGCTCCCCTTCGCCATTCTGAGTTTTGATCTTGACTCTGTTCGATTGCGTTCAGCTTGATAACTTCCTCATGACCCTGCCTTGTTATCAGATTTCCTGACATAGATGAACTCCAAACGTGTCCTCCACATCTGTGATCTCCAGTACCTGGATGGAAAGATCGATTTAATATGTCGCTCCTTCTCTAATTGTACTACTCTCGTCATGGTCTCGACGTAGCGTTATCCAGGGCAAGGCGTACCTTTTATCACGACTCTTCATTTGCCTGATGTCATCCTCCCCTACACTGAGATCTATTCTCTCCGTCGCCCTCTTAACTGCAGGCTTATCCAATGCCAACTAAACACTGTACCCTAAGCACCTATGCTATTCCCTGTGTCTCCTGTAATAGATATTACTTTAGTGAGACAGCCGTGAGTCTCACTAAGCGTCAGTCTCAACATAAATACGGGGACAACAACAATGCACTCCTCTGCCATCAGTGGGACATAGGCCATCAGATGGATTGGTCAGCTGTGTATATCTTTCCTTCCGATGATGTCCACGCCCGCAGATTGGTGGAATCCTCCTTGATTCAGGCCTCTTTCACACGAGGCAACTAGTGTCCGACACCGGTGGCAGACACTAGTTGTTTCCTCGTGTGAAACAGGCCAGACACTGGTGTCCGCCTCAAGTGAGCGGACGGTGGTGTGGTGTGTGGTGTCACTGTGTGATGTGCGTGGTAATATGGTATGGTGATCTGTGGTGGTATGATGTGGTGATGGTGTGTGCGGTGATAGTGTGTGTGGTGACATATGGTGACATAGTATGGTGGTTTATGGAGGCATTCTGTGGTATCATACAAGCCTGGATGTCACTGAGCGAAAGGTGTGAAAGCTTCCATTTGAAACAACCTCTATGTAAGTACTAACAAAGACGAACACACATGAATACATACATATAAATATGTATATATATATATATGTGTGTGTGTGTGTGTACACTCACTCATTTCCGTTACCATTACTGTTACCGCTGATATCAATCAAATGCTGGGAAACTATTGATTTTTTCAGTAAAAGTAATCTTACAACCAATTTATTGCAATAAACTTTATTTTTGAAATGTAATACGCTATATATATAAAGGTTAAATATAAGTTATTACATTACAAAGATTATGGCACGTATACAAATTTCATTAACCACTAAAAATGAAACATTTTGATACACATATACAAGTTACCGTTGCCACTGATACCCATCAAATGCTAGGATTTTTTTTCGGTAAATGTGATATAAAAATCAACTAATAAACTTTGATTAATAAACTTTACTTTTGAAATGCAATACATTATATATATTTGAAGCGTTAAACATATAAGCCATTACATTACAAAGATTATGGCACACTTGTACAAATTTCATAAACCACTGAAAGTGAAACATTTTTATACAGAAAATAGAATGATGCGGAACAATTGGAAAAGAAGTTGCAACCAATTCAGACACTTTACAGTTGATTTCAACGAAAGAATAAATACATCAAAATTTAATCAAGACAAATGTTTCACTTTTTATGGCCTAGGATTCTCCAAATGACTACGATCAGAACCGTTAAGGCTTGAAATATATTACATAAAAGTCTTCCCTTAAACCTACTCGTTTTCTTTGTTACATTCGCAAAAAATAGAAAGCGAAAGAAAGAAACGAAATACAGTTCGTCGTTTACAAGCTCGGCGTCTGATAGAGTCCATTAATGCCATTACCGTTTGTCGCTCCACCATTGCCATTCCCGTTACCATTAGGGGCACCATAGTAATATCCATTACCGTTCCCATTACCACCGTTGCCATTGCACATTACCATTCCCGTTGCCGTTGGTGTATCCATTTCCGTTACCATTCAACACCATTCCATTGCCATTGGTAATACCATTACCGTTGGTGTATCCGTTTCCGTTGGTGTATCCATTTCCGTTACCATTACATGTTTATCCGTTCCGTTGCCGTTGGTGTATCCATTTCCGTTACCATTCCGTTGCCGTTGGTGTATTTTCCGTTATTCCGTTGCCGTATTTCCGTTACCATTACCCGTTACCGTTGCCGTTGGTGTATCCATTTCCGTTACC